AAATTTACTCAACACTGAATATATATGGAGGAAGAAACAATCACTATCACTTCTTCAAAAACTTTAGAATATCAATTGGATAAAGTATCCAGTTTACATATTACAAAGATTGATGGATAAAACATTGATTGAGCTAGCTGTCTCATCTCTCCAGCTTCACTAATTTTTTTATTTGAAAATTATTTTACAAGTGATGATCTCTCTTTGAAAGTCCTCATGAAATAAATGCATTTCAATAAGAAATGTGAATGAGAAAGAGTCTTATGGAAAGCATAAAGTCAAATCCAAAGCCCAGTGAAGTCAATAGGCACTTTTGTATTGATTTTAGAGGAAGTTGGATAGCGCCTAGGAAAATGGAGAGCTTTCTAGGGTAAGTAGTGACATATGAAAGGATATGAAAATGAAAGAAGGGATTCTTTAATTCATACTCTACTCTGTAGTTTTATACATACTAATTTAAAATTACAGCCTTTCACTGAAGATGTAGGTGAAGAAAAAGGAGGGTATCAGCTACAAGTTGTACTTTGTAATTAAAAGTGCTATACATATCTGAACAGCTACTGTTATTAGTTTAATTTAAAACACTGAAAAGCTACAAGACAAGATAAGCATTGTTTTAACCTGAATACTGTATTTACTCAAATACAAGAGGAATTCCTTCCCCTCTCCCCACCCCCCTGAAACAGCACAGAGGAAAAATCTCCTCATTTTATATTTGCATACAAGGAAACCTCATTAAATTAGGGTGAGCGATTATCCTGTTTTCCCTGGGACAGTCCCAGATTTTGGAGGTGGATCCCAGACACAGGTTGCAGATTAAAATGAGTGTCCTGCATGCTGGGTATAGTGTGGCAAGGAAAGGAAGCAGCATGGTGCCCTGGGAAGGAGGCAAGGCAGGCTGCTCATTGGAGCATGCCAGTCCAGCTCCATCTCCATCAATCCCTACAGTGGGCAGCTGACTTGGAAGGGAGGGAAGAAGGGAGAAGGGGGGAGGGGGCAGGCAGTGTCCAGGATGTCCCATATTTGCAACCAGGGTGGATGGCCATCCTACATTAAATATATTGTGTTTCATTAAAAAGCAGTATGTGCTCAGTAATGGAAACCAACTATGAAATTAATTAAACGTAACCAACACTGAACATGACTATAAAACACATGGCCCATATGGGCCAAACATACTGATAGGAAACTTTTTTTTTTTTAAGTAATTTTTTTCATGTTACAAGCCAAATCAATTCCAAATCTGTGAGTCATTCAAGAACCATATGTGGTCGTACTACTGGCAAACATCCTCCACCCACCATCTGAGGCTTCAGATGCTTCCAAGTCATTTGGCGGGCATCTTACATGCAGGGCCAAGCCCAGAGGCTTGGGGTTTGGATGCCCCTGAGTTTCGCTTACCCTCAGCCATATGGATGCAGGAACAAGCTAGGGAGGAGTCTCCCATTTCCACAAAGTGGGCATAAAGCCATGATATTCCCATTGGAAATGCAAGTGGGAGGTTAACTATACATTACCTCTTCAATTAGTACCCCATGCCAGAAAAGCAGTTATGCCCAGCAACTAGGAAAACTGCCTTAGTGGTCACAGAATTTCCCCCACCAGGTAAAATACTGATGAGACCTACAAAGATAGCTTAATTCAGCCATCTGAACAAGATATATGCTAGTGCCCATTGCGGTCAATCCTGCTCAGTGCTGACTCTTTTGCAAGTCATGGTGAATCTCTACACTGAATACATTTTGACTTCCTCTTCACTGCCACAGATGAGCTTCACCTTTCTCTCCCATTTCCAATGAATCCTGTTCCTTCATCAGCCTTAAATGTCTGGCAAACATCACCATACATGACCCCAAACAGTTCATCCAGAATCTCTCTCAGCCTGTCACACAGAATTGTTATGATCCTGCCCTCCAGGAGGTGAAGGCTGACCAGGTTGCCCTGGACCTCATTTGCATAAAAAAATTGGAGGATCCAGGACTCATGACAAGAACACCTGATTCAATGACTGGGGGCTATAAGCACATGGCTCCTTTTTGGTGAGTATCTGAAATACACTCATCCAAGCAGTGATGAGCTGTGGGGACACCTTGCCTAGAAAAACTGTTGACTCTGCTGGGGTTTGGCCTAATCATGTGTCTTTTTGCTTTGGACTAATATCATGTATAGTGCATGCTATATTTAAGCAGGTACAAAACTACTGTTTTAAATGGGATTATAGAGTTACCTGCACTAAAACTTGCAGCAGTTTCAAAAAGGATAAAATGCATCAATTCTGGAAATTTAAGTTTCTGGGTACCTGTACCTGGGTACCTGTACTTTCATGCAAATTACTATAGATATGTTTATTTCAAGGTCGGTATTTTCAAATTAGCTCCTCACTCCCATGTACTCAGGGAGAGCAGGGTCTGGCAGTAAGGATGGGAGGAAGAAGGAAGAGCAGGGACCTGACTCCCAGTTTAATAGTTATTGCTGTAACAGTGGAATGGGGACAAATTCTAGCCAAATAATTAGATTCTATACTTGGAAAATTATATCAAATTTATAAATTTTCCATATATAGAATCTAATTCTTTGGGGGTGGTGGGGGTTATATTCAGGGTCATCTTACATTCAAAAAAATATAGCAATATAAGAGTGATTAAAAACAGAGTGCTTATTAGGCACATGTTAAAAAAGATGGTAAAAATGTTTAAACTGGGCCTAGTCTCTTCAAATGAAGGGTATATGTTCCATATAAAACATTTATATCTTTGAATTTCAGTTGAAACTTGTATATGTGGCCATATGCTGATTGATTCTGTCCAGCCACACTAAAGATTTTAATGAGCTAATAAATTCTGTAAGCAACACTTAAAGCATTGTGGTAGAGTAATAAGGGGTAAGTAACGTGGACACCAGGGGTGGGTGCTGATTCAGCAGGGATGCCAGAATGGTAGCCCCCAAGGAGCTGGCCCCAGGCTTAGCAACCAGGAAGATAAGGTGCAGAGAGCCACCCTATGGCAGAAGCATGTAGAAAGCTGACCACAGCAGCAGTAAGCATCCAAGCTATACCTCACATCAGCAGCACCAAAGTCAGGTTAGAAACCCCAGCACTTGTCCCCCTCCACCATCCCTGCTCAGAACAACACCACTCCCCTCCTCCCACCCCTGCTCAGGACATAAAAATCACAAGTTACACCTCCGCAGCATCTTAACATACCAATACATTATTTGTTCTTGCTTGATATAAAATATATATGATGCATATGATATATTATAAAGAAGGAACACCAAATGTATATTAAATATAATTTGCCTTGAGTCAAGGGGTATGCTTATGTAATCGTCTATCCTGTTTGATTTATTTATATAAGATGCCCAGTCCTGTTGCAAACACATTAATTATATGGTTATTAACATCTGGCACAATGGGTCAAAAGCTGGGCCGAATGATGCTGATGACTAAATTTTAGTCAATTTTAATGGGACCACAGTTTCCCTGTGTTTCCTACAAACCTTAGACATTTTTACAGGTTTCTGATATCAAAGCTTGCTGCAACCAAGGGCTTAAATCCTTGAATAGACCTGACACAGGATTCATAGCGCTGTCATCTCAGTTGTCCTATGATATCTAAGCACACATGGGTAAGATGAAACAGCTTTGGACCTAGTTATGAAATGGGGAGGATGAGAAAAGCATGCTACTAAAAAACTTTTTGTTTGTTTGTTTTTTTACCAAATTCAGCATATTGATCTGTATATCATTAAGTCCATCTTTAGGGTAAGAAGCTGATATACCTCATTTTGGCATGCAAAGCCTCAGCTGTTTAAAGTGTTAAGAAGGTGGAGACAAAATGTAGAGACAGAAACTATGAGAGCAGAAGTGGAAGCATGAACCTAACACTGAAGGGAAAAAAAGATGAATTGCTGACACAAGGTCATGAAAAACAGCTGTTGCTGGCTGTTATAATTATTTTTCCTGTTGCTGTTATGCCATGAAATAAGTCCAAATAATTTTTTTCAGAAGACACGAGATTCCTTCTGCCCAGTAAAAAGTGCCTCCAAGTTATCAAATCCCGGTCATATACCTGTAGGCTGTTGCATAATTTGGGATGCTATGATAATATTTGTGATGATTATGTACAGATATCCTTAAAAGGGAAAAAAGTATGCCCACATAAACTGTGATAATAAGAGCAAGAGCCCAAAGGAAGGGAAAAATAACAAACAACTGTAAGTAAAACAACTTTAGTAGCTTGCTGCTGCTGTTTCTCTTACCCACTTTTTCATAATTATATAGTATGAGAAACAATACAGTCATCATTAACTCACAGGGATATATTTTTGTAAAGTTTTGAAGAGATATAGCCATGTCCGTTAAATTTAACAAAAGGAAGCTGATGAAATCCATGCAATTCTTTCAAAGCTTACCCCCTAGTGTTCTTTAAAATTGTTTCTGCTTTACTGGAGGAGATTGGGGGAGTAAATCATTAATTGAAGTAGATGAACCTCGAGAAAAATTGGAAAAGAACTAGAAAACAAAGTTCTTAAGCTAGATCTTTACACATGATTTTGGGAAACTTAGAAAGCTCTAGTCCTTAACACTCATCTCATTGCCTTTATAAAGCAACTGGTTCAATTCTACATACAAAGACTAATTTTATCTCACAAAAAGGAACTTGAGAGTTTTACACCTCTCATCTCAATAAGGAAATTTTTTCAGGATTCTGGACAGGCTTTTGAAAGAAATAGAATTTTTTGTTATCATTTGGTTACTCTACATAGTATTGCATTATCTTTTATTTCCCCTTGTGTCCTTATACATTTGTTTAGAGATATTTTGTGTGTGTGACTGAGTCTCAAAATCTGTAATTTTTTCAACAGTGAGACAGAAGATAACCACTGCTGACTCCAATTACAGTCAAGATTTGTACAGACTTATTCATATGTGCTGAATGATTTGGTCTGTAATAACAATACATATATTTATAGAATTCTTCTTTTCTACCTCCCTGAAGCTACACACTGACCAAGATAAAGGAGATGGAAATTTAAAATACATATTAACAGGAGATGGGGCTGGCAGTCTATTCGTTATAGATGAAAATACAGGAGATATTCATGCTGCAAAGAAACTGGACCGGGAAGAAAAGTCCCTGTATGTGCTACGTGCCAAGGCTATTGACAGAAAGACTGGAAGACAAGTGGAGCCGGAATCTGAATTTATCATTAAAATCCATGATATCAATGACAATGAACCCAAATTTACAAAGGACATTTACACCGCCAGTGTTCCTGAAATGTCTGGAGTTGGTAGGTATAACTTATACTTATGTAAAAGGGCTGGTGGGGGGCAGAGGGAGGTTCAATGATAAAAGTCACTCTTGATTATAAACAGTGGTTGCTGTTTGACATATTTAAATAGCAATACCAATTTCTGTGAATATCTGTTTAATAACTCCTGTTGCAAGAAATGTATTACTACTGACCAATTACTATTTTTACTTATTTATTTCACTGTAATCCATACTATAATCCTTTTTCCACACCATGCACTACTATATAGCTGTTGTAATCCCATCACAGCCAAACAGAAATGCAGCATACACAGTGGTCTTATCTGTTAGCACCAGCCAGTTTTGCAACATCTGAGACTATCACTTTTATGTGCCCATTTGTACGGGCATGCCAAGAGTCCAATTCATTGGATGTTTCTTTGCAGCTATATAAACACAACTCCAAATATCTAAGTAAACCAATCAATTATGTATTGATATAAGAATAGGTTCTTGTAAATAACTTTTGTTCATATTCATATTCCTCTGCAAAATAAAGTAGTATTTGTTTCTCTATCTTTTTTCCTAAATACCAAATGACAACCCCAAAACAAAAAGACCACGCAGTATAAGAAAATATTATTCTAAATGTAATAAATAAATTACTGTATTCACAATGACTGAAATGAAAAGTAAAAATGTAGACTGCTCTAGCAGTAGGGTGAGATATATAGTCTTAAGGAAAAAGAGATGTGAAATGCGATGTTTTAGTTATTACCCACCAGCTTGCAACTATAAGCATTCATCACAAATTTCCATAATGACCTAAAAGCCTTACAGTTTCTTAAAGAGAGAGAGGAAATTAGCTGTGTTAGTCTAAAGTCCAGCAGAGGGTGGGGCTGAGTGGCACCTTAAAGACTAACTCATTAAGAAGGGCATAAGCTTTTGTAGATGATAGCCTATTTCTTCAGAAGCTATGGATCAGAATTAGAGGTGCACCGATATATTTGTACAATATCAGATTGGTACCAATATAAAGAAAATTGTCTAGATTGGATATTGGCCCAATGGGACTGATAATTTGGCCAATAAATGCCTGTTCTAGACATTTATTGGCCAAAGTTGGAAGGGGAGGGGAGAGGGAAGGAGTATGGGGGGCAGATCAATGCCTCCCACAGTGAGCGGGGGGCAAGGGCAGGAGCTGCCCAGCTGGGGTGGAGGGGCATGAGATGGAGTCATGGCTTGGAGCTCCCACCACTGCCTGCACCCCAGGAAGGCATGGTGTGGGGCATGTGACCCTGATTTGCATGACACAGTGAAAGCTGCAACTGTGGGGCGGATCCAGAGCCTGCATTGCATGGGGCTCTTCTTGGTGGGGGCTGGGCTCAGAATGGGCTCTGGTGATGTTTGGAGGAGGCTGCAGCTACACCCTGCCTCTACCCAAGTGCAGGGAAAAGTCGTGGCTGTGCTGGGTGGTGGTGCAGGGCTGGGACTGAAACTGCAATGACATTTGGGGTGGTTGCAGCCCCTCCCAGCATCACCAGAGATGCTGCAAGCCCAGGCCCCACAAGAAGAGCCCCACACAGTTCCGGCTCCAACTCTATCCTGCAGCTGCAGACTGTCCCATGCAGTGCAGATCTGTGGGCACATGCCCGCCCACCCTCCCTGGGTGCAAGCAGTGGCAGGAGCCACCCCCACCCCATGAGCTGCAGCTCCTTCCCATGCCCTCCCTCCACTCCAGCTGGGCAGCACCTTCCCCTGCCCCCTCCCTCACTGCAGGGGCTGTTGATCTGTCCCCCAAACCCCTTTCCTCCCCCTTCCCACAATGAACTTACCAGTTGATGGCAGCTGTATTGGATATTGGATTGGTATCAGCCGATATGCCTCCTTAAATATTGGCTATTGGTATTAGCCCCCAAAATCTCTATTGGTGCACCCCTAATCAGAAAGCTATCAGGTTTTGAAGGTGCTTCCCTGTCCTGCCTTCTGTCATTTTCTTGAGTAGAGATGAAGCCTCTAACAGAGCTGGGGGAAGGGCTAAAATTCTAAGAGGTATAACCAACCAATTTTCATGGGTCACTTACCAAGATTAATTCTAATTATTTTCAGTATCAGCATTGCTGAGATTAACAGTAACATACTAATCAGCATTTGCAACCAATTGGCATTAATGCAAATTTCAGGAAACTCAGTGCAGCCCTTGGCAACAACAGTAGATGCTTTAAAAAGCACTAGATCTAACTGTAAGCATGAAGGGGAAATTCCTGCAGTAGGAGATAAGCGGGGGGGGTGGGGAGGAAAAATATTTTTCTATGGAAAATAAAGAATATTTTTTCCAATTATGGAATCCATTTTGATAAGACTGTAATGGGAAGGGGATTGATAACAAACTTCATTAAAATCAGTCCAGTCTTATTAGAGGGGTTACAACAATGTAAGAAAACAGACTGAAGTACTTTCATTGCACAGTGTAGCCTGCGGGGATCATAGAAAGTTAGGGTGGGTGAACAATGGTACTGCTGCCCTGCTGCCAGATCCATGGGGAGCCCCAGGCCCTGCATACTGCATCAGGTGCCTGAATCAGGTGCCAGGGCCAGATAGGCTGGGGGCTCCTGAGGCCCAATCCCATCACATAAGAGGCAGGGGAAGGAGGATGAGATGATCCCAGGCCCCAGTCTGGCCCACAGACCATCCCCTGGCTCACATGATGTCTATACACTGAGATGAAATTAACAAAGAATGTTAATACAGCTGTGAGGATGGCCCTGACAGAGTGAGCATTGGGGATTTTGCTAGAAAAATACTCAAGTAGTAGTTTCTATATTAAGGTAAAGCCAAATTAACTTCTCATTTAAAACTAAGTATGTTGATTCTTTGCTAATATACACTTTTTTGTAGACATTTGCATGAATGGGTGTTAAAGGGTGTTAGGTCAGGATTGTGGATTTACATATTTACTTGTACGAATTCAAAACATTATACAAAGAGACCCTCTACATGTGTAGGTAAAGGCACAATGGAATCTAAGGCATGATCCACACAATTACACTTCCTGCCATGCCATATGTGCATGATAAGAAGCATGCTTACAGGATTGCCATCATAGCCAGCTACGCCTTATTGCTGGTGCCTGATCCCAGACTCCCAGTCATAGGGCAAAGGCTATCCATGCAATTTAAAGCTGGATAGAAACTAGCTATAAAGTTATGACACATTTTTCAGCAATATCTTTATAGTTGGATGCACCTGCTTATGGCAGCATAGGTAATTTGCAAGTGTAGCCCATCTAAACTAAATGTAGCCAATTACAGTTAACCAGGTAATTGTATAATAGATATAATGTATAGAGGGGGCCAAAGTGTAAGAGAGACTAATTGGCCACAAGTATAAGTCCACCTCATTAAAGAGCAACAATCCTAGTATAACTAACACATGTAATGAAATTAACATCTCATTTGGCAATACTGGGGAAACCCAGTTTCTTGCACAGAAGGCAAAATACTTCATTACTTTTCTTGTGGCCAAATGGCAGAAGTATATTAGTGGTCTGACAATTTATAGCCTTTGGAATCTATTCCTATAGATAGAAAAGCAGATGTCATGAATGAAAAGGACTGATGGGAGCAGAAGGAATGAGCTTCCTTAAAATGGGGTGCAACTTACAGGTGGGTATGTGATTATCATGAAACCCATTCTATGCCTGCTATTTTAGCATGAAGCAGATCTATCTATTGAGACATTAAGACAAAGCAAGCATTGGTTTATGCCACTAAATACCAGATGGCTCATGAACCCAGAAGGGAAAGGGATGATGGGAAGGAACAGTAAGAGAAATATACAAGATATACAAGATATTCAAATACATAAATGCATGAAAACTGACTGTACAATTAGTCAATGGAGCAAGGCCTGTCAGTACAGCTAGGTTCTTCCAGGGGCAAACTAAGTTAGAGTCACCAGTGCTTTACCGTATTTAAGGAAGGAATGACTTCTTTGCATTCAATATAGATATGCAGAACAATTTTCTTGAACTAGCATTTCCATTGAAAAGTGGACATTTCAATCAATTTATGGTCCTTATGCTTGTGTCTCACACTCAGTAGCTTATTTGGGTGGGACATAGATTGGTATCAGTAGATTAGGGAAAGTCATCCTGAAGACAAATTTTGATTGGAGTGTATGCATGTTTGTAAGGCCTCTACAGTAGTTATCTTTGAAATGGTTCTAGTTCCAACTGGGAGGTGTGGTGGGAACAGGTGGGAATGGATTGATCTCAGGGCCTGTTGCAAGGAAATTCACTTCAGGGTGTTATTGGTTCCTGATTTTTACCATGACTCAAAATTCTGGAAGGAGCAAATGCAACATAACCATCTCCACTGTCTGTTTTTGCTGTAATCTTACAATTATCACCATATTTTTATGTTCTTTTCAGGATCCACACTATGAAGAGTTAAAAAATATTGGCTAGTACAGATAACCATTTGTCATTTAGTTTACCCTATGGAATATCAGTACTTAATCTGAGAAATTATCTGGACATTAAAAATTCACATAAAATGCTTTCTGATAAATTATCATTAAGGTATTTTACTTGGCAACTTCACCATATAATACAGTGATTTCAAAACCTCCAGCTCCAATATATCCACATTTATATCATTAAGCATAACAAATTTTGGGGACAGAAATAGTAGTATTTGCTTGCTTCTAGGGCAATTTCTGCTTGGTGCTCTGCCGTGATTACATTAACATGAGAAGCAAAGATTACACAAGCTTTCAAGTAGGGGTGCACTGATAGAGATTTGTGGGGCCAATACCGATAGCTGATTTTTGAGGAGGCATATTGGCCAATACCGACCCGATTTCTGATACAGCTGCGTGCAGCTGGTAAGTCTCTTGTGGTGGAAGGGGAGGGGGAACGTAAGAACTGAGTGGGAGCAGATCAAGGCCCTTGTGGTGAGGGAGGAGTGGGGCTGGTGCAGGAAGGAGCCATGACTCACCTGAGAGGTGTGGGGAGGAGGCGGCAGCTTCCACCAC